TTTTATCAATTTTGTTATACTGCAGCCTGATTCTACAGTTGTTAAAATTCATTTTTCCTCATTAATCTACATTCTGTATCCCTTAATGACAAAGTGAAAACATAATTGTAGAAATGTATGTACATTTATTAAAAAGAAAAACCTGAAATATCACTTTGGCATAAGTATTCAGTCCCTTTGCAACAACACATGAAATTTAGCTATTTCTATTGATTGTTGCTGACATGTTTCTACACCTTGGAATCCACCTGTGGTAAATTAAATTGATTGGACATGATTTGGAAAGGCACATGCCTCTCTATCACAGTCACACAGCTGACAATGCATATCGTAGCAGAGCAAACGTCATGAAGTCAAAGGAAGTGTCTTCAGAGCTCAGAGACAGGGCTATTGCAAGGCACAGATTTGTGGAAGACTACAATTAAATTTCTGTTGCGCTGAAGGTTCCTAAGAGCACAGTGGTCTTCATAATTCTCAAATGGAAGAGATTTGGCATAACCAGGACTCTTCCAAGAGCTGGTCACCTGATCAAACTGAGCAATTGGGGGAGCAGAGCCTTAGGAAAGGTGGTGACCATTGAGTTCACTGATAACTAAGCTCCAGAGATCCTGTGTGGAGATGGAACAGAGTTCCAGAACAACTCCAGTTCTTCTCGTAATTCTACTTTAGCCCTCCTCCACAGATCTTGGCTTTATGGCAAAACACATGAAAGCCCACTTGGAGTTTGCAGAAAAGCACCTGAAGGACTGTCAGACTGTGAGGAACAAGATTCTCTGGTCTGACAAAACCAAGATTAAATTGTTTGGCCTCAATTCTAAACATTAAAGAAATTAGGCACCATCCATCACCTGCTCAATATCATCCTAACAGTGAAGCATGGTGGTGGCAGCATTATGCCGTGTTTTTCATCATTACGGAATGGGAGACTGGTCAGAGTTGAAAGAAAGCTGATTGGATCAAAGTATAGGAATAGACTTAAAGAAAACCTGTTCACAGTGCTCAGGACCTCAGACTGGACTGAAGGTTCACTTTCAAACATGACAATGATCCTAAGCAGCCAAGACAACACAGGAGTAGCTTAGGCACAACTCTCTGAATGTCCTAGAGTGGCCCAGCCAGAGCCCTGACTTGAACCCTATTGAACATCTCTGAAGAGACCTGAAAATGATTGTTTGTACCAACGGTTGCATCCAACCTGACTTGAGTTTGAAAGGATTTGCAGGGAAGAATGGCAGAAAATCCCCCAATCCAGGTGTTTAAAGCTTATCAAGTCATACCCCAAAAGACTCCAGGCTGTAATTGCTGCCACAGGTGCTTCAACAAAGTACTGAGTGAAAGGTCTGAATACTTATGCCAGTGTGATATTTCACTTTTTTCTTTACAGACATTTCTAAAATTCTGTTTTCACTTTGTCTTTATGGGTTGCTGAGTGTAGATTAATGAGGAAAAAAATGAATTTCAACAACTGTAGAATTAGGCTGCAGCATAACAAGGGCTGCAGTGACAAAAGTGAAGGTCTGAAAACTTTCTGAAAACTCTGTATGAGCCCAGTGATTTCTCTCAGAAGCGGACCACTAAGTTCATTGGGTCACAAGGCAGCGCTAGCTGTCCTAGAGAGGGAGCTTTCAAGTCTGCTTGGGTGGTAACTTTTGTATGACACACTATTCACAACACAGAGCTTATTAGATTGATTTGACAATGTTCATCATGCTCCTCCAACTAGCAAAAAAATAAATTTGCCTTGCAATACATTTAGTCTCACCAACAGTGGAGAATTACATCCCTCTTCTCTAGAATGCTACGCAACCTAAAAGTTCTGGGCATTGCAGTCTCAATTCATTTTGGAACCTTCTAAGTTAATGCTATTACAAAAGGTTTGCTGTTTCAAAAGAGGGCTTTTCCCCCTCATAAACTAGCTCTCAGATTAGATCCACATTTTGGTCATACTTTTTCCCCTGGGATCACTTGAGCAGTTAATAAGTTAGGAGCCTCTGTGGCGCAGTGGATAGAGTGCAGTACTGCAAGTTACTTCTGCAGCCATCTGCCTATAATTTGGCAGTTCAAATCCCACCAGGCTCAAGGTTGACTCAGCCTTCCATCCTTCTGAGGTGGGTAAAATGAGGACCCAAATTGTTGGGAGCAAGATGCTAACTCTGTAAACCACTTAGAGAGGGCTGTAAAGCACTATAAAGCGGTATATAAGTCTAAGTGCTATTGCTATATAAATATAATGCACTGATTATAATAAATAATATGTATTGCAGGAGCATCCAAATATTTCCTCAATGTTTATTGGAAACATAAAGATGAGTCTTTTAAAAACATATGCACGGATGTGGCAAAAATTTTCCATTCTGAAATGATCCCTCATTCACCCTGTTTTTAGTAAATTTCATTGACAATGCAGCAGTCATGCAATAAAAGCAGCTATGTTGTTGTCAGCTACAAGAGGAATCTGATTTAGTGGCAATTGGTTAAACAGTTTACATGATTGCCCCACAGCGTGAAAGATATGTCTAAAATTTTTAATTTCTTTTTATTTTACTACCTTACTCTGTAGCAGTAATGTAAATTATATTTGTGGTATATGAGCACCAAAGATTTGGAGTCCTTTAAGTTCTGTTTATTGCAGTGATATACAGTACATTTATTGCTAAGATTGAACTTTGCTGTTTTAGGCAGGCAACCATTTCATTTTCAGAGTGTGGGCAAAACACATCAGTGAATGGAGCTTCAATGACTTAATATCATGCTGATTAATAGGACTGTTTTTAAAAATGTAGATTTATGAAAAATTAAGAGTAACTTGTTTCTTAAATTTCATGCCAGAAACCAAATTCAGGAAATTGCATGGCTGATTTTGTATATAAATAGTTGCCAAATTTGAAACGGCAGTCCAACTATCTGGCTTTCAAGCCAGATAGAAAGCATTTCAGGGCTGCCTGTGGTCCATAGGCTACCCTCCCCACAGGCTATAAATCAAAGTCTGCTTTTGGGGAAACTGTGTCTTAGGTTTATTAGCTTATAATTGCATGATTTCAAGAACTACAACAGAGATTTTCGCAGAGTTAAACAAAATGTATATTAAGAAGTGCTAAGAAACAGGTATACAAAGAATACTGTGTTACCCTTTGGTATTTATATTTACCTAATTTTCTTTTCAAGTCAGTTGTCTGCTGATTGATATTATAACTTTTAATTGTTATGTTTGTTCTTAGCAAGGTTGTTTCATTTATCTTTTCCACTAAGAGAAAAGTGGGTACTCAGTCTCTTGCATAACTTCCACAGATCTTACTGAAAATATAACATACATATCACTGAAGCACAAAAGTATTTGTGTTTTAAGAACAGTACATTTCTAACTTAATCTTTCCAACTATATATCCTTACAAACTTTATACAGTAATAAAGAGGGTGAGTACTTTCAATATTATATCCCATTTCTCATAAATTAAGAATATTATCATTGGAACTCAGAGAATCTGGTTAGACAAGTCTGCAACACTGAAAAAAAATCTATCCATATTTATCCATGCTAATCTGTAGAAAGTCCACAGATCAAAGTAGAAGTTATTTCTCAGTGAGATACTTGGAGCTAGTCAGTTTTTAAGTTATAGTTCTTTTATATAATTCTATTATCACATTGCATTTATGATTGATTTTATATCCTTTAAAGGCTTCTATTAGGAATGCTAACTGTCTGTTTTGTCTGTTTTACTTAACTTGCTATGTAATGGGCTAAATAGGGAATATTTGTGGATCTGTGCATTTTTTAAAAAGTAATCCTGCCCACAGGTTATTACCACTGTTGCATCACATTTTTTTTCTTTTCCACCCACGGATGGAAATAAATGTTTTCTTTCTCTTTTGAATATCCTCGGGGAGGAAGTAATTCTAGGATGGGAATTACTCCGATCAGCCTGTTTAGTGACTGAAAGTCCTTTTCTCTAAGGTGGAAAAATTCATAGGTCTAGGTTGGCTCCTTTCTCTTTTTAGGCGGCAACCTGTTTGACCCTCAGAAAACTTGGAATCGTCTCTAAATCCACCCCGTTTCTCCAGGGAAATAGGAAAAACCGGCCTCCCGCGCCCAACAAGGCAAACACGTTGCTCCCCGCCTCTTTTCCAAATGAACGGAGCATCATTTGAGAGAGCGGAAGCAGGAGCAGGGTTCATAATTATGCCTTGCAGGAGGTGCGGCTTTGGGCTTCTTTAGAGTAAAATATTATATGGATCTGAGGGCATTTTGTAATGCAGAATCGCATCGTCAAAACGGAAGAGCTAGGTTGGCAAATCCCAGCTTGGAATCTGATCTGAGCTCCTAAACCTTCCTCGTTTAAACACCTTGGAAATTGAACGAGGCCAACAGACCGGCAGGGATGCAGTTAAGAGGAGCCCGCAAAAACCTCGATTGCAGAGCCCTGGGCGTGGGGGGGGGGGGGGGGAGGAAAGGCACCTCCCGCCCACGAGCCACAACACAGGCGGGGTGGTGGCGTCTGACGCGGCGGAGGCGCGAGTCCTGCCCCAGGGAGGGGTGGTCAAGCGTCCAGCGCGGCGCTTGGCCTCGCCATCCCACCCCACCCCGCGTGTCCCGGGGGCAGCAAGCAGAACAGCAGGAAGACCCCTCGCAAACTTCTCCGGTCCTGCAAACGAGAGAGAACGGGGGGTGGGGAAGCAAAATCAGACTCGGCAATTTTCGCGCCTCCAATAATTTTGTATGCGTGAGGTGTGTTTGTGTCCCCCCGCCCCCCCACTCCTCCCCTCAGCATTTCCTGGCCGACCGGATGGAGGAAAGCAGGACTTGGGGAAGGGGAAAAAGAAAAAAAAGGTGGTGGGGCAAGAGATCCTCCTCCTTCTCCTCCTCGGGAGAAGGAGCGGGGGATGGGTGGGCGGACTCGTGGGCTTCCCATCTCCGCCTCTCCCCTGCGCGATCCCGGCGGCAGGAAGGGAAGGGGCAGGCGGAGAGGAGGGAGCTGCCTGCCTACTATGCGAAGGGGAGGGGCGGGAGCTCTGCCTGCCGCCGGGTTGCCGAGGCTGAGCTGAGCCGAGCGGCAGCGCGGGGCCTTGGACACGTCGGACCGGGAGCGGGCGGGGAAGAGGAGCCCTCAAAGGCGGCGGGGCCAGGCCGGCAGCTCTCCGCGAGCGCGGCCCGCCGCTGGGCAGAGAAAGGCAAGGAAGGCGAGGGGAGAGCCACAAGCCCAGCTTTTGGCCGCCGCTGAGACAAAGAAGCGAAGCTCGCCGCCGAAGGCACCTCGCTCCCTCGCCCCTCTTCTTTCCGCCTCCTCCTCCTTCTCCTCCTCCTGCCCATCCGCGCCCCTCGCTGGGCCGGAGCCCGGAGAGACAGACCGGCAGGCGGGCAGGTAGGAGGAAGGAAGGAGGGCAGCCGCCGAGGGAGGAAGGGAGGGAAGAGCCGCCATAAAACTTGAAGCAGCTGCCGCCTCCCGAGGAGTTGCGGGAAGCGCCTTCCGACTCCGGCCCAGCGAAACCCTCCGCAGGCCGCCTCCCGTCCCGTCGCCACCGGGCCTAGCTAAGGCACCCGGGTAGGAGGAGACCCCCGGGCTCGGCTTCCCCGCCCTTTTCCCTTCGGCTGGGCCGGGGGAAAAGATCTGGGAGGTGGGATGGTCACGCAGGGAGGAATATGGGCAGAAGGGTCGAAGCGCCTAAAACTAAAGGATTTTTTTTGGGGGGGGGGTAGGGGGATAAAGGAGAGAACTCGTGTTCTTGGCCGGGGGTGGGGGTTGAGCAGGGGAAGGGTATTTCTCTCCCCCCCCTTCCCCACAAGGGAGGGGTTTCGGGTGGGGATCTAAAAGGAAAGAGGGGTGGGGGGTGGGTTGCAGAAAAATCCCTGGGTGGGAGAGAAGAGGCTGGGGGTCTAGGCGCTTTTGAGTGGGTGGGAATTGCGAGAGAGAACCAGGTGGATTGAGAGGAGACCCCCGCGGGGTGGCAAGTAGGTAGGGGCCCACCTCCCTTTCCTCCTAGACCTAGAGGATATGCAGTCCGGGAAAAGTCCCTCTCTCCCTATCCTCCCGTGGAAAGGATAGAAAGGGGATTGAAATCAAAGAGGGAGGTGACGGGCCCCAGAGTAATGCTCTAAGGAGATAGAGGGATGGGATGATGGATAAGCTAGACTGAAAGCCGGGAGTGTTTCTCCAGCCCAGCCCTTTGGAAGTTAAGATGGAGTAGCTGTGGCTCCTGCTGCTCCCTTTGAGTTTTTGTGAACTGCTGTTTTGTGTCAGGGTGGGGAATAGAGAGATATCCTTGCCTGAAGTCGTTTCGTAAAATGCATTGTGTCAAAGGAACTTCCTCTTCACATGCACAGTAATAAATATGACCTACATTTCAGGAATCTCTGGAAAACCATCTAAACTTCTATAGACTACTATTTTCATTAATGTGCCGTTGCTTGCTCTTTTAATCCCTTGCATATTTCTTGCTGTAAATCAGGTTTGTTGTATAAGAGTTTTAACAGAGGATTAGGATAATTCTGACCCCTTTTTAATTTAGACTAAGTATGACTATGCATCTTCTAAAAAAACCCCCAAAAGTTGGGATTTTTGTTTTTAGTTATAGCCAGTTTACATCTCTGAACTTTTCCCAGACTTTGATCAGTATATAGAACAGTATAAAATTAATCATATTAATAATGTATTACTAAACTATATACAATGCATCCTTTAATATGAAATGGAAATATGATAGAATCTTCATACTGATTAATATGAATATATAGAATTTATATTATACTATACAATACAATGCTTTAATAAAGCAGCCCAAACCCAAATAAACTTATACAACAATAGTCTAAAATTAAGTTCTACCTTATCCACAATAAAGGAATGATTGACAATGGAATTTCCAAACAAAAGACACTATATTTTTATGACTAACCCTTACAGACTTTTTACATGAAACAGAAAAATGCATTTATTACTTGTGATTTTGATGGTTGAAAAAGGTCAAGTTTTTTTGTAATCTTAAAGGAAGAAATAACTAACATTGGCTGCTATTTTTGTTTTTTCTTTCTATTTTATTTATTCTGCATTAGTTTATGTTATTTTTTATGTTCTCTTTAAAACTTCATAAAATTTGTATAAACAGTAGTGTAAAATTAATAAAGCATTGTATCATAGGATACATGTAAACAAGATCAAAATTAAATTTTAGTTATCAGTCATTAGTATAAAATCTATTCCACATTCAATTCATACAGTCATGAAAATTATGCCAATTATGTGCTATTGAACTGTTCTGACAAAAATGAAGAAGTATAAGTGCTCCAAGTGGCCTGGGAATTATATTAAAGAGGTGGTTATAGTGTGGAACTTAATATAGAGATCTCTATAAAAGATACAATATAATAAATTACACATAGTAGTCTTGATCCAGAAGAACAGGTATGTTCCTTATGTGGGATACTTCTAAATGTTCTCTGAATACACATTCATATCAAACATTGGTTTTGGGAATGTTCTCAAAATCTGCTGGATGATTTTCTGAGATGGATAAATCTGTTATTCTTCTCTTTGAAAAATTTACTTGTTTTTATCCTTAATCTGATGCCTTATTGCCATTTTAACTTATTCAACACAGAGTAAAAAGGTAGAGGAAGAAATATGGAAACATGGCTGTTTCCATCTTCGTTGAAAATTATCATGAAATATATATGGAGATAAATTTGTTAATATTCTTCAAACAATAAATGGCTATTGTTAATTATGCAGTTGGTTACATCTTTTTCGGCCCATCCTCCAGCTCTAATGTTGGGTTTTGGGACCATTCAGGAACTGTCATATTGCTGTTTATATTATTTTGAGCACCATGTAGTTAGGATAGGAACCTAATTATATATCATGTAAAAGCTACGTTAATGCTGTTATCTGAAATAAATGAATATCAGGCATCCGCTCACTACCTTGAATATAAAAATTACTTAGAATGATCATGCTATCAAAAGCATATATATGGAGATTTTAACTCTGCAGAGTACTTTTTAGCTGCATGTTGAACAACAATTATTTGATCTATGGAGATCACCCTACTCTAAATTCAGCTTGTTTTTGTGTAGGATGCATTCATTTTCTATCCAGTTCATGATTTTCCAGTGTAAATGGCAAAAAGCTGGTATATTCTATAATACTCAGCATATCTATTTGTCTGTAATTACTAGAATCATCTCTGACTCCTTTTTAAAACATAATGGCCATTCCCACAATCACTGAGAGTGCTATCTTGGGGCCCACCAATCTGCATTTGCCTTAATTAACCTTGTATAAATTGTATAACACAGCATGTCAAGTATACTTGTTAGATGTGGAGATTTGATGCATTTACAACTATCATATATACTTTATTTGGTATGTATTAAAGCTCTTCTGTCATGGTACATTTTGTAGATAGAAAAAGATATTGTTAAATTCATTTGTGAATATATTTTTTAAAGAGATAGTGCTACTACTTAAGACATGAGATATTTGTGTTGCAGTCACTAGATATATTGCTTTAGAAACACCCCTGTTTCAATTCAGGCTAGAAACTGGGAGATTGTGTGTTCTAGTCATGCTTTAGGCATAAGAAGTTACTAAACCTCCTTCAAACCATCTAGCTGAACATGGCAAGATCAAGGACTGATGGTTACAGACAAATGCACATAAGGTGTGTATGGTCAAGTATGTCTTACACACATTTAATACCTTGCACAGGATGCCTGTTTACTTCTGTTTATTTGAAAACAGCTTTAATGCTCTCTAGGGAATCTATCAGTAAAGTTTGTTGATTCTTGGTGAAATAACTTGTGCATATTTGTTTTAACACTGGTATGTATCAGTATGTGTTGGTCTATGTACCGTATTCAGAAGACAAATGGTGCAACAGATAGGTTTGTTCTGACTTGATGCTTAATAACTGGATAATAATCAGGATCAGGCAATAAGCTTTAGCAATTGTTTTAGTGACCCTAGTTTATGTTCCCTAAAGTCTTATATGGGTTCATATTTGTCATCTTTTAATCAACATTTTCAACATTTTCATCACCTGCTTGTTTAGTGATTAATGTTTATTGATAGTTTTATTGTAGAAAGTGAATTCACCACAGATTCTCTGCTCCAGAAGCAAGTATAGTGAATTAGGATATAATGTAGGTTTAGGATTTTGGGGGGTCATTTCCTCTAATCATATGACATGATGCATCCTTAGACTGAAATTAAATAAAAATGTTTAGTATGACAGGAACTCAAGTTCTATATCCTACTAAATAGTTTTATTTCACTAGCTGCATCATGTATAAATGACTAATCAGACTCAGCTATTTTAACTGAATGTTTAAGGATACATTTGGAATAGGACACAGGTGTCAAACTTGCTGTGTTATGTTGCCATCACATGACATTTCATGACTTTTTCCCCATCAGCGGAACTTGAGTGGATGTAGCTTCTGCATGACTCATTTGGCCCGTGGGCCACCAATTTGACACTCCTGGCTTAAGATGAGGCACAACTGTAAATTTAGCATGCCAGATTTGTTACTCCATATTGTTTAGGTTAGCTGTATAGGTGCATATGTTAGGATTTAAGCTTCACTAATAACTATAAAATGCTCCTCTGATGTATTTTGTAGTAACTACATTGACTTCTGAAAGATGTTCCATTGTTATTTTATGTGGATGTCAAATAAGTAATTTCATAGTTTTTTCTAACTGGATCCTGAATTTCTGTGATTTACTTGTGATGTTTAGTGTTCATTTATTCATTAGTCTTCTATAATTATTATATAGTGTTTCATTATATAATGAACATTTTTTTCTATTTTGAGTGAGGTCAATTGTTAATCAATTTATAAGTTCTATAAAAGAAAAAAAAAGATTTTAAACCTCAAATATACACTTGTAGAGTCATAGCTGACAGCACACATTAAACTCAACAATTATTTATTAAAATGAAGAGCATCTTTGTTATTTCAGTGCTGCACTCATGTTTCTTGCATTTTTGTTTCATAATAATTTTGAAAAAAAATATTCCCAGCTTTAGTTTTTCCCCAAGATAAATTGTAGATATCTTATCATTTTAGTTAAGCTTGCATGTTAGTGAATCGGTTACTTAAAGGTTTCTTTGTATCATAGGGCATTCCCAATAGAGAAGAGTTATTTACAAATGTCTATTAAATACAATTTATCATAATTACATGTATTATATGAATTATGCCACTTGTATCATTTTGCGTCACTGCTGTGATATCATTATGCAATTGAGATCACTTACTTGAATCCAACTATTTGCACAATGTGGTTATTACTCAAATGATACAAATCTATGGAAAATAATGTAATTTATGCAAATGACATCAATTAGAATGGAAATTTGG